AGTTCTTTTCAGGAGATCTGAAATTTCACTTATACAATTTAATACCTGGTGGATTTGAAGAAAAACGAGTGCAATTTTATGCTGCTGAAATCACTCTCGGCTTGCAACATTTACACAAGGAGCATATCATTTACAGAGACCTAAAACCAGAAAATATTCTTCTTGATGATTATGGTTGTTTTAGTTTTATTTGTTCGTTTAGAAATTAAGTGAACAGAAGTGGAGAATTCATCACACCTTCAAATTAAATCCCATTTGGTAATGTGGCACAGAGGTTTAGATACAAGTCTGCCTGACACGAACTATTGTTTGTTGCCCTTTAATGTTCACTTCATAAGTTGCTCGGGCTTTCATTGAGAGATTGGTAATTCAGTTACGTTTTAGGGCATGTCCGAATATCCGACTTAGGACTTGCAGTTGAATTAAGAGATAATGAACCTATAAAAGGACGTGTTGGCACAGTTGGCTATATGGGTGAGTTAGTTGTAACGTTATTTTATTGCTGATGAGATATCACTACAAGATGCAATTGTGTGAACTTCAAAAGCTATTATGGAAGTAATTTGGCATTTTCGAGGTGGCACTAAAGTCGAAATGCATGGCGCAAATTTATGTTTTTCAAATTGTTAAATATTATTGCTAACATTAATAAGGGTAATGATTTGGAAACTGTCCTTGTATGCATTAAGCATATTTATACGACTAACATAAGAATATTTATTGCAATTTTATATTATTTGCAGTTATAAAAGTAACACTCATTGTCTGATGTGATGGCGAGTTGATATAGCCATAGCTGCTAACAGGTCATTCTAATTTCAGATTTGTTTTCTCAGCGTTACTTTTTTTTTGCATATTTCAGCGCCAGAAGTTATCAAAAATGAACGTTATTCATATGGTGTCGATTGGTGGGGATTGGGCTGCCTAATATATGAAATGATGGAAGGAAAGGTCGACGATATTGCTGCTATTTTCTTTCTTTTTAAAATAGTTTTTGTAGTGTTGCTGTTTCATTATGATAGATTGTTGAGACTGCTTTTTGTTGCTATTATCTGTTTTATTATTTAAGGCGCCTTTTCGGCAACGGAAGGAAAAAGTAAAACGTGAAGAAGTGGAACGACGAGTCCGTGAGGATCAAGAAAAATATTCGGATAAATTTAGTGAATCTGGCAGGACTATATGCAGGTAAAGATAGTCACATTTCGCTTCTTTTTCTTGATTTAGATACTTCAGAATAATGCATGAGATATTTGAAGCTCGATAAACTAAAAAATATTGTAAAATGAAGCGAATCTAGATGTGTAAAAAGTGAAATTACACAGGGATCAAAAGCGTGTTACTATTTAGATTAACAAAGTTTCATTTAAAAGTAATCTTGGTTACCATCAAAATAATTTAGTTATTTAGTATATTAATTGGATCGATAAGCTGAATAAATAAATTAATGGCTATGAAAATTTTTATCGATTTCCATAAAATAATTTAGTTCGGTTGGAATGGGAATCCTAAATTTACTCTAAAGGTTTAGCTGATTCTTTTAAAAGCAGGCAAAAAAGTTTAATCTGGTTTTGTGAAAGACGGGTTACGCTTTTATTGCGGTCGGGCACGCATATTTCTAGCTTGCCTATGTCTTTTTAATTAGTCTTAGTTACGTGATATAGTTATGCGTATCAAATTGTTTATGAGATTGAAAACCACAACGTATGATCGTATGAATGACTTTTACTATCAACTTGAATAAACAAAGTGTTATTTAAATTATTATTGTCATTAGCTCATATCATATTTTATTTTATCATCTAAGTAAACAGATTAATTTATAGAAATGTCTGTATTTAGTGGTATAGTAATTAATTAATTTATTTATTAATTTTTCAGAGGTCTTCTACACAAAGAACCAGGCTTTAGACTTGGATGTCGCAGAGTTGGTAAACCAGAAGAAGGTGCTGAAGAGTTAAAAAGTCATCCTTTTTTTTCACAAGGAGATGTGAATACGGGTAGGGAACCAATTCCTTGGAAGAAAATGGAAGCTGGAAAGGTATATAAAGGCAAACTTTTAAAGAAAGCGTTTAAATGAATGATAAAATGGAACGATCAATTTTAACATAACTTCGCTCACTTAAAAGATTTTAAATTAAAGTAAAATATATGTCCTATTTCCTCCACCCATCGATATTACATTGGAAGAGAGAGCTGAAAATGTGCACACTAATGGGTAGATTTTATGCATGCTCATTTCGCTTATCATTTTGTTACTCCATTTTTACCTTATACTCTTCCCTTTTAGGTTTACTTGTCCTAACGGTATGATTGTACTTGGGGCTAAGACTGATAACGGAAGATGGCTTTCTATCTTTTCAGCTATATGAAATCAGTGAAGAATGCCAGCACCAGTTTTGATCATTATATAGTTATTACCATTATATTATGAAGTTGTGGTTTATCGCAATGTTTTTTCTTTTTTTTGAACGGAATATAAAAGTGTGCCAAATTGTTGAATCTTTCAGTGAAGACCTTATTTAAATCCAATTTTTTATTTTATATTTTTAGTTGACACCACCGTTTTGTCCTGATCCCAGAGCTGTGTACGCCAAAGATGTGCTTGACATCGAGCAATTCAGCACTGTTAAAGGTGTAAGATTAGATGCAACAGATAATCAGTTTTATGGAAAATTCAGCACAGGATCTGTTTCAATACCATGGCAAAATGAGGTACAACTGAATGTTTCTTTTTATTATTTTTTTATTTAGAGCAGTTATCAGAATTTTTCAAAAAATTGGCCGCTAAGTTAATAGAAGAAGTTTATAGAGATTTTGAGAATCACTTAAGGTAAAATTCGTCTTCTCATTTGACGAAGCATCGCCGTCGATAGTTGAGATGAATGATGTAAACCTTGGATTATGTTGGAAAATTGGTTTTCAGTGACTATTTTGGTTTTCATGAAAAATTTAGTTCCATTCCATTCGTATATTGTTATACAAATTCTTCAGGTCACAGTGAGCTGAACTTTTAATGTATTTTATGCAAACATACATTTGTTAATCTTCTTTTTGAAGCAACCAATGATTATGGATGCAGTTTAATTAATAAATCGTTTCTGATTTAACTTGTGATTCTTGTTAATACAATTTCTGCTACTTATGATCTAAAACTAATGTCAAATTTAACCAGCTTTTCGATGCATTCATAAATTTACAGTTTCTTTAGTTTGCCAGTTTTCTCTAATTTATTTCATAAAGCTTTCTCTCAGTTTAGTATACACTGCATGTATAAGTTCTTCTAGATATCGTGCTTTCTGACCTAATATTGGACATTGGTTTAAATCCAACTGTTTCAACACGAGATTGTTGAAACCTCCAATTTTTCTCGTGAATCAGTTATCTAAAGTCTGTCCAAGAAGTCTGTGAGAAACTTGAATCTTTTACCATAATTCAGTGATAGCCATTCATTAAGCATTATCCCACTATCTAGGTTTCTCTGCTCACTTTGTTCACTTTCACAGATGAGATTATCCGGTAACCTGTGCTGCAATCTCTTCACGACTTCTTCAAAATTGTTAGAATTGCATTTTGCTTCACAGATGCGCTGGCTATTTCAACCTTTTTTCTTTATTTCATACTGTGTTGAGTTTTACAAGTTAGGTAGCTGTAAGCTAGTTAGATAGCTGTTTGATTTATAACTGCATGTGTTTTTTATAGATGATTGAAACAGAATGTTTCCGAGAGCTCAACGTGATGGAGGAGAATGGTGAACTAGTGTTGGATTTGCGTAATGACCCGATTAGAGGTGAAAATAGCAAAAACGAATCTAATAATAAATTTGGATTTCTTGCACGATTGTTCAAGCGGAAAGTAAGTATGCCTTCACCGCATTTCTCTTTCATCCATCTGATTCAGTTATTTTTTACGTTGTATTTCAGTTTTACTTTTAAACATTTTTTAAACCTCTCTCAGTTAACTTAACTAGTCATTTTAAACCTAAACAATATACAGCTAGCTAATGAAAATGCATCTTGCAGACCTGATTTTGCTGTCATCACAGTGCCTTTCACTGCTGAATGTGCTCAGTTCTGTTTATTATCTTGCCAAGAGTCGCGTCTCATGGTGGAGCATTGCAACCAGGCCGCTTTGATATCTTGTTTAAAGCACTTTGCTTAAAACTGAATTAATTTAAAAAAAAAAAAACGTTTTTGAAATTCAGCAGTTATCTGATATGGTGTAATCACTGCTGTAGATACGTACTTCAGAGAGACAGGGGAAAGATGATAGGAAGATGTAAGTAGGTAGCTATGGAATTATTTTTACTGCATGGTGTAGTCTTAGCTTCAACCGAATGCGTCTAGTCGTCAAAATCGGTTCAAATCTTCTTTATCTATTAGGTATACATTTGTATATCGAAATGGCAAACAATGCCTTATGTCCGTATAATGAATTTTCCTTCAGTTTTACTATGATTTAGTCCTTGTTCTCTGACGTTCACATAATATTTTTACATGGACTTTTGTTTGAATTTACTATCTTTATTTGGTGATATCGCCAAATCTTTGTCTGTTTTCTGTTTGCATTTCAATATAAGTGTGGGGAATGTCACCTGGCTTGGAAATTAGATAGCTGTATCATAAATTTTTCGTAAAACCGGTAGGGAATCCACAGTTTTTCAACTTATGGAATTATAATTTAGAATCGAAAAGAATTTTTCCTTTCGAAAAAAATATCAAATAAAGTGATCTATCATGAAGAACTTGATTTTTCGATGAACTGAATTAAATATATCGAATAATTTTGCATATTTCGTTCACGCGAGAAGTTATTCCTGGAGTAAATCTTCAAAGTTCAGCAGAAATCTTGAACGCATTTTACATCGAGACTAGTTTTGAACATATTCAACATGCTTTACGCATCTTTTTTGTGTTTCGTCGGAGTCGTTTAGCTCATTGCTTATCGTCTTTTATATCCATCGAAGTCATTTGCTTGGTGTGATATCATATTGATGTTGTCATAAAGATTGTTGGTAGCTGTTATGAAGTTTTTGAAGAAACTTAACTTGGATTCGTCTTACTACAAGGAACAGATTATATTTCGGGATGAAAGTATTGTTACATATGTGCCTTTTCACTTTCGTTTAGAAGAAGAATTTACCGCTTGTGGGAGGAGTAACGACGGTAATGAGTTGAATAGGAAAATATGCTAGAGTAAAAATTTGTGTCGGTTGATGGTCCATACAAAGAACTAAAATTCACATCGGTAGTCTTTACAGTGGCCATTCTTTGAAAACGTTCCTTTGTGAAGGGAAGGCATTTCAAAACGTTCTTTATTGAAGGGAAGAATACCTGACAGAGATTCGGAATTTCACCTTTATTGTTTAAAAAGCACAAGAACTAACCTTGGTGGTACTAATAAGTGGATGTGAAATATTTTTCTGTTACCTTCTGCCTTTCCACTAATGAATATAGTATTCTGGTGATATATTAAAACTTTCTGGAATCGGAAGATCAGTCACCATCTCTTGCATGATGTAAATACATCTCTAGAAATCCCAGGTCTCCTATATAAAATCACGAGGCTCATTAAAGAGGGCTAGAAATGCTTCGAGACTACACAATGTCGTTAAGGATTTCAGTATGCGAGAAAGTATGTGGATAGTTTTTGTTGTGGGAAACAGCCGATGCGGAAACGTTTGCCTGTTTTCTGTGCCGAAATCGATTAAATGAAATTTCATGAAGCACAGATAAACTAAAACAAAGCGTTACATTTGCGGGCTGTTCTCATCCATAGACGTAGTTCTTAGAGTGCTATGAATTCGAAATAATGGAATGATGACTAACTAGTACTTTTATTTAATTAATCATTTTTACTTTAATCCATCACTGACTATTATCTGCCTAGTTTAATCTGAGGTAACTCACAGTTACGGATGCATTTCTGACTAGAATATCTTGAAAGAACTTCCTTTTCTGTGACTTGCTCCCGATACAAGTCACAGTCGGATTTTCTCTTCCTCATCTTTTTTTCTGTGGTGACCAAATGAGCCTAAAATTTTAACTTCCATATCGTGATTGATACACTAGCCGTTTTCTTTGAAAGTTGAGGCTATAAAATTGAAACGGAGATGTGTATTATCGTCGTTATGCTTTTTTGTTCAGGCTTGTCTTGCAAAATTATGCATAACATATTTCTGTTTTCTCATTTTCTGCACGCGCCCTCTTATAAGCAGATTTAAGTGTTGACTATAATTTCACATTTGGAAACTTTAAAGTCTTAATATGAAAAACGGTTTTTATTTTGTAGTTTTGCGAAAAAAATTGTATTTGCAGATGTTCCACTGTTAGACACATGCCACCACTCAACGAAACCGAAATTGCATACGAATTAGCTTTTAGCAGGTAGCATTTGCTATCTCGTAACTTTAGCAGTGCTATCTGATACTTGCTATCTGATAATTTGGCAGTGGTAGTACTTGCTATCTAGTGCACTACTCATCCATTATTACTTTCCGGACAAAATTTTTCAATTTTTTTGCTTCTTATCATTATGTAAGTGTGAAAAAGTTTTCCTTCCTATCACAGTTTTTTTATCGTTGTTCTGCTGAGCTGGATTTTGGGACTTGTACTTTCAAAGCACTTCAGAAGACAATTAACCAGTAATTTACAGACTTTCCGGAAAAGGTACAGAATTTTGTGGCACTTCTGTGGAAGATTTTGATTTGAATAATTTGTTCGTTTTATAGAAAAATTATTGTAGAGTTTATTCTTTGTGGAAGATTAGTGGAATGTTATGTGACATTTATAATGTCAATAAACGAACTTTTCTTCTTGATTATTGATGACTGATGTAATCGTTAATGAGAATTGGTAAGACATGATTGAGTCAAAGTCTGAAAAAAGTTGTTAAGCAGTTGAAGCGAAGGCTCGCCATAGTGTCGGTCAGTGGGTAATAGCATAGCTGAAGAATGTTGATGGTAAGACTGACCCCCAAGCAATTAGTTATACTCACTTTGTTGAGCGTACTTGGTGGGCACTTGAGTGCTAAACAATTTTGTTCTTGAGCAAAGAGAAATTGCAGTCATCCGACGGATGAACAAAGGATGTAATCATCTGATAGGTGAGACTGATTGCAACGAAGAGTCGTCTAGACATGCAATCGAGAAAGCCAACTTCATATAATTTGTCACATTTTTTGGCTCGAGCTGAGAGGAAATTTTTTTGTAGCTGCTCGGCCTTTACCTGGTGAACAGATTTCTGTTAAGCGATTCATTTATTTTTCTAGCCAGAGACGGATGCAAGGGCAATAGCCCCCCCGTAATTTTAATGAAAAAAGACATGTTATTATATGCTAAATACCTCAATAAGGAAAGGGAGCATGTCAGACGCAAGCGAAAATCCTTTTGTTTGATAAAGTATGTCATAACCTTGAAATGTGGAATATGAAATTATAAGAAACCTTATAAAATGAGTCGAGAAAAATTTTTCCATTTCTATAAAGTACACTTTCGTGGTGTAATTCATATATTTAGCAAATCGTGTTATCGTACTTCTGATTTCCTATCACCATTGACTCTGGCGCTCAAGTCAGCTTGGCATACTAAAACACGAAATATGTAATATCTCAACAGTTTTGTTATTCCTAGTTTTAAGATTTGCGAATTAATTACTGGTAAAGAGAGATGACGACAAATCTTCGGGATATCATAGAGATGCGGACAAGTTATGTGACATTTTTGAGTCGCATAATCCCTGAGTCTTTCTGCAAAAAAGGCTCTGTGATGATAGTTGTTTGGTAAGTTTTTCAGTGAGGGCACGTTTAAAATGTCAACAGGTAACTGAAGAGAAACTTTTTGGAATAGCAGTTGTTATACATATCAGTTTTTCCCTTCACTCACACTTCCTTTAGACAAAGAAAAGAGAAGAACTGTGTAGCCACCTGCAACCCGAAGTCCGTTTCCACCCAGTGCTTTTGATCGGATTGCAGGTCGAGCACACATCGTATACCGTATCATGAGGAAGCTCTCGAATTACGACAATTGCTCTGCAAAAAAAGAAAACTAACTTTCCGAAATACCCGTCATTCTTGTTGAAGAAGGAATAAAAGTAGCTTATTTCGTGCACTCATTACTATTCAAAAACACTAAAGTTAGTGTAATGCTTCATGTTGCATGTGATGACTCGTGTCGTGAAAGTTGTGTTGAATCGAAAGTCATGTTGAATTGAATCGGGCACCAAAAATTTGTTGTTGGGAAAGTTGTGTGGAAGTGAATACGAGAGGTCGTGTTGATTTGAATATTGTGAGGTCTTCGCGGCAGGACGAGAACCCGGCTTGTAAGCTCACACTTGGGTAATTAAACCTTTATTTGGAAATATGGAAACGAACGAGCAAATGAATAAGTAATATGGGAATTAATTGAATGATAATTGAATGAATTCAAGTGTGACTGGATTGAACCCAACTGAACTGCCTTTTGGCTTCATCCAGCAGGGCTTATATGCGCTAGAGATAGGCGTGGTTTACAGTGGAAACTGTTAAGAACCAATTACAACATAAGTATTGCAATAAGATTCAATGAGAAAATAAAGATGAGAACTTGGATGAACATTCTAAGTGATTGACAGGAAATGAATTCCTGTATAACCACAACACAAGATATGGGCAAAAACAAATACCAAACAAAGACACACTGGAATTTGATGGGAAAGAAATCTAAGAAATGTCAATCAGATAGATAACAAAAATGAGATAACTAATGAGTCATGGAAAGCATTCCATTTAATTTGTATAAAATTTATTTTAATTTTTGCGACAACTCGAATAAAGGCTCAAAAAATTCGTCTTAAATTAACTTGACTAATTCTTGAATTACTATCTTCAACTTCATTCTTCTCTCCTTCATCTGCGTCAGTAAAATTTGGCTCAATTTTTTCATTCATAAGTGCCTATCCAAGGTTAACAAGTTATCTAAGGTTAACAAGTGGTGGGATCAAGCGAAATAAGATAGTAAACCAAGACATATCATTGAGTCAATTTCATTTGGAATGCAAGTTAACAGGCATGTTCGATACTGGCCACGTCACTGAAGGCAAACACTGCGCTGACTATTGCTAGCATCTTCAGCTTAAAATCTTGATTTTAATTAGAGAGAGGTGAGCCACATGGCTTTTACCGCCCCTTCATAAGTAAATGCATGATGATAACATTTGTCCATCCATGACGAACAAACGAATCCGACCGGTCTCTATAAGCAAACCCCGCTAAATTCCATCGACGAATTTTTCAAACGACAAATCTATGGCGGCGGTCTTTTTCCTAAAAACGCCATTTGAATGCGCGCCTTGCGAAACGATTTAGTAATTGTTGCGCCGATCCAACCACTAATGTCGTCATCACAATATTTGCCTATCATACAACATATATTGCCACCGGCACACATATGCTGTTCGACTTTTCCGAGCTCCACAGACCACCCACGACGCTTCGAGAATGCGAGCATAGTGTTTGGTTGCTACAGCAGAAGAAGTATGGAAGGTTGCATTGCTGCTAGGCCACCCACAGCGCCACATCACATCACCAGCAAAGGTGAAGCATGTTGGCAATGGCTGGAGATGGTGGAAGATAAGCACGGTGTGTGATCGGTTTCATCTGGGATGTGCATCGCTCCTCGGTTATCTTTTCCAGGCAAATCCCGAAGATAGCTCTCTGAACTCCTGAATTATTTTCACAACAAAAGGCAGCACTGCAATTTCCTTTCTTTCCACATGATATTTTGACATTGTTTCACGCAAGTTCAAAGAATGCGTGCACCCGCCACTCCTAATTCTCGACAATAACGACTCTTCTTGAAAACACTACATTGTTGACTGCGGTATTCTAGACAGCGAGAAATAATCAAACGAGGGAACAATGCCTAATAAATGACATCGCATTGTTGTTGGTGGCTCAGCTTTGTTATATATATTATAATGATGACAGCAAAATCAGGTCTGCAAGATGCATTTTCATTAGCTAGCTGTATATTGTTTAGGTTTAAAATGACTAGTTAAGTTAACTGAGAGAGGTTTAAAAAATGTTTAAAAGTAAAACTGAAATACAACGTAAAAAATAACTGAATCAGATGGATGAAAGAGAAATGCGGTGAAGGCATACTTACTTTCCGCTTGAACAATCGTGCAAGAAATCCAAATTTATTATTAGATTCGTTTTTGCTATTTTCACCTCTAATCGGGTCATTACGCAAATCCAACACTAGTTCACCATTCTCCTCCATCACGTTGAGCTCTCGGAAACATTCTGTTTCAATCATCTATAAAAAACACATGCAGTTATAAATCAAACAGCTATCTAACTAGCTTACAGCTACCTAACTTGTAAAACTCAACACAGTATGAAATAAAGAAAAAAGGTTGAAATAGCCAGCGCATCTGTGAAGCAAAATGCAATTCTAACAATTTTGAAGAAGTCGTGAAGAGATTGCAGCACAGGTTACCGGATAATCTCATCTGTGAAAGTGAACAAAGTGAGCAGAGAAACCTAGATAGTGGGATAATGCTTAATGAATGGCTATCACTGAATTATGGTAAAAGATTCAAGTTTCTCACAGACTTCTTGGACAGACTTTAGATAACTGATTCACGAGAAAAATTGGAGGTTTCAACAATCTCGTGTTGAAACAGTTGGATTTAAACCAATGTCCAATATTAGGTCAGAAAGCACGATATCTAGAAGAACTTATACATGCAGTGTATACTAAACTGAGAGAAAGCTTTATGAAATAAATTAGAGAAAACTGGCAAACTAAAGAAACTGTAAATTTATGAATGCATCGAAAAGCTGGTTAAATTTGACATTAGTTTTAGATCATAAGTAGCAGAAATTGTATTAACAAGAATCACAAGTTAAATCAGAAACGATTTATTAATTAAACTGCATCCATAATCATTGGTTGCTTCAAAAAGAAGATTAACAAATGTATGTTTGCATAAAATACATTAAAAGTTCAGCTCACTGTGACCTGAAGAATTTGTATAACAATATACGAATGGAATGGAACTAAATTTTTCATGAAAACCAAAATAGTCACTGAAAACCAATTTTCCAACATAATCCAAGGTTTACATCATTCATCTCAACTATCGACGGCGATGCTTCGTCAAATGAGAAGACGAATTTTACCTTAAGTGATTCTCAAAATCTCTATAAACTTCTTCTATTAACTTAGCGGCCAATTTTTTGAAAAATTCTGATAACTGCTCTAAATAAAAAAATAATAAAAAGAAACATTCAGTTGTACCTCATTTTGCCATGGTATTGAAACAGATCCTGTGCTGAATTTTCCATAAAACTGATTATCTGTTGCATCTAATCTTACACCTTTAACAGTGCTGAATTGCTCGATGTCAAGCACATCTTTGGCGTACACAGCTCTGGGATCAGGACAAAACGGTGGTGTCAACTAAAAATATAAAATAAAAAATTGGATTTAAATAAGGTCTTCACTGAAAGATTCAACAATTTGGCACACTTTTATATTCCGTTCAAAAAAAAGAAAAAACATTGCGATAAACCACAACTTCATAATATAATGGTAATAACTATATAATGATCAAAACTGGTGCTGGCATTCTTCACTGATTTCATATAGCTGAAAAGATAGAAAGCCATCTTCCGTTATCAGTCTTAGCCCCAAGTACAATCATACCGTTAGGACAAGTAAACCTAAAAGGGAAGAGTATAAGGTAAAAATGGAGTAACAAAATGATAAGCGAAATGAGCATGCATAAAATCTACCCATTAGTGTGCACATTTTCAGCTCTCTCTTCCAATGTAATATCGATGGGTGGAGGAAATAGGACATATATTTTACTTTAATTTAAAATCTTTTAAGTGAGCGAAGTTATGTTAAAATTGATCGTTCCATTTTATCATTCATTTAAACGCTTTCTTTAAAAGTTTGCCTTTATATACCTTTCCAGCTTCCATTTTCTTCCAAGGAATTGGTTCCCTACCCGTATTCACATCTCCTTGTGAAAAAAAAGGATGACTTTTTAACTCTTCAGCACCTTCTTCTGGTTTACCAACTCTGCGACATCCAAGTCTAAAGCCTGGTTCTTTGTGTAGAAGACCTCTGAAAAATTAATAAATAAATTAATTAATTACTATACCACTAAATACAGACATTTCTATAAATTAATCTGTTTACTTAGATGATAAAATAAAATATGATATGAGCTAATGACAATAATAATTTAAATAACACTTTGTTTATTCAAGTTGATAGTAAAAGTCATTCATACGATCATACGTTGTGGTTTTCAATCTCATAAACAATTTGATACGCATAACTATATCACGTAACTAAGACTAATTAAAAAGACATAGGCAAGCTAGAAATATGCGTGCCCGACCGCAATAAAAGCGTAACCCGTCTTTCACAAAACCAGATTAAACTTTTTTGCCTGCTTTTAAAAGAATCAGCTAAACCTTTAGAGTAAATTTAGGATTCCCATTCCAACCGAACTAAATTATTTTATGGAAATCGATAAAAATTTTCATAGCCATTAATTTATTTATTCAGCTTATCGATCCAATTAATATACTAAATAACTAAATTATTTTGATGGTAACCAAGATTACTTTTAAATGAAACTTTGTTAATCTAAATAGTAACACGCTTTTGATCCCTGTGTAATTTCACTTTTTACACATCTAGATTCGCTTCATTTTACAATATTTTTTAGTTTATCGAGCTTCAAATATCTCATGCATTATTCTGAAGTATCTAAATCAAGAAAAAGAAGCGAAATGTGACTATCTTTACCTGCATATAGTCCTGCCAGATTCACTAAATTTATCCGAATATTTTTCTTGATCCTCACGGACTCGTCGTTCCACTTCTTCACGTTTTACTTTTTCCTTCCGTTGCCGAAAAGGCGCCTTAAATAATAAAACAGATAATAGCAACAAAAAGCAGTCTCAACAATCTATCATAATGAAACAGCAACACTACAAAAACTATTTTAAAAAGAAAGAAAATAGCAGCAATATCGTCGACCTTTCCTTCCATCATTTCATATATTAGGCAGCCCAATCCCCACCAATCGACACCATATGAATAACGTTCATTTTTGATAACTTCTGGCGCTGAAATATGCAAAAAAAAAGTAACGCTGAGAAAACAAATCTGAAATTAGAATGACCTGTTAGCAGCTATGGCTATATCAACTCGCCATCACATCAGACAATGAGTGTTACTTTTATAACTGCAAATAATATAAAATTGCAATAAATATTCTTATGTTAGTCGTATAAATATGCTTAATGCATACAAGGACAGTTTCCAAATCATTACCCTTATTAATGTTAGCAATAATATTTAACAATTTGAAAAACATAAATTTGCGCCATGCATTTCGACTTTAGTGCCACCTCGAAAATGCCAAATTACTTCCATAATAGCTTTTGAAGTTCACACAATTGCATCTTGTAGTGATATCTCATCAGCAATAAAATAACGTTACAACTAACTCACCCATATAGCCAACTGTGCCAACACGTCCTTTTATAGGTTCATTATCTCTTAATTCAACTGCAAGTCCTAAGTCGGATATTCGGACATGCCCTAAAACGTAACTGAATTACCAATCTCTCAATGAAAGCCCGAGCAACTTATGAAGTGAACATTAAAGGGCAACAAACAATAGTTCGTGTCAGGCAGACTTGTATCTAAACCTCTGTGCCACATTACCAAATGGGATTTAATTTGAAGGTGTGATGAATTCTCCACTTCTGTTCACTTAATTTCTAAACGAACAAATAAAACTAAAACAACCATAATCATCAAGAAGAATATTTTCTGGTTTTAGGTCTCTGTAAATGATATGCTCCTTGTGTAAATGTTGCAAGCCGAGAGTGATTTCAGCAGCATAAAATTGCACTCGTTTTTCTTCAAATCCACCAGGTATTAAATTGTATAAGTGAAATTTCAGATCTCCTGAAAAGAACT